CAAAAGAAAACCAAGAGTTAACTACCGTCTTCAAACGTTATGACTTGCGCTTTCTTCTTTTCATTTTCTCTAATGACTTTAACTTTTTCTAAGTTTAATGTAAAATATTAAACATCAATGTATTAAATTGAATAACTCCCTTCTTTATTTTTTTTTTCTTCGTAATCTGAGCAAGTTCATCAATCTCGGTGTTCATGCTAAAGAAATTACTTCCTGCGAGGAGGAAGTAGTACAAAAGTTCATGTTGTATATCTTTCGTCACATACAGATATATTATGCCCTCATATAAAAGTAAACCTTATTAGAGACCGCATCTTTGTTAGAGCGTGCAATGAATCTATTGAAAGATATATATGAAGGCTTAACATGGTTGCCAGCTATTACAAGGTACCATGTCTCGCTTTTAACATGTGTTGAGTTTATGTATTTTTTTCTATATTATTAGGTCTTTCTAATAAATCTTACAAATTTTCAACTTCATAAACAAATCTTATGCTTCTCATCTTTTGGTTTCTTTTTCTTAAACAAGAAACCAAATGTTAAAAAGTTCGAGTGCAAGATAATCCTCCAAAGCCTCAAATGACTTTGATGAACATAATTTCTATCGATATTCTAACTCATCGTTAAATATTTGTCTTCTTTTAATTTGTTTCAATTATTGCTATACAACTTTTAGATTCTCATATTAGTTCCTATGTAATTGTTGAAACAAACAAACTGACAATAAAATCAAATGAAACTTCAAAAGAAAAACCCGCGCGAATACGCGGGTATTGGCGTAGTAGATTATGGTTGTAGGAAAAACAGTGATATGCCCAACTTTAATCACTAATTGAGGACTGGTCTTACGTCAGAATCGAAATCGAGAAAGTGTTACGGAAACAACGAAACGAGATCTTTCCAACAGTATGAAGATCGTTGCCTTGCTCTGTCAGAAACGACCGTGAGAGCCTCGGCAAAAGCCATATACGCGGCTGTTCTGAAATGCCTGTAAAGGTTGACAGCTGCAGAGCTTCGCTGTCAAAAGTCTTTTCCTCTGACTTCTGATCACGAACCCAATATATATTGGTTTTGGGTTTACACGCTTCATGAAAATATCTAATTGACTTTTATTTAAGTTTTGGGCTTCTACGCCAATTTTCAAAGATATGATTTACGGTCGGGGGTTTATTGGGATTACTGAGATAACAAGCAAATCATGAACACAATAACAAGCAATAGCTATTTCTCAAGCTGGTCAATCAGTCAAAAACAGTAGCAACGATTTGTTTGTCACCAAACCTTTTAACGAGGGATCATTTCTTTGACAAAAGACTTTTCCCAGCCACTGGTTCCAAGAACCTAGATCCCAAACTTTGATCAAACACATACTCTACTGGATCTTCTAAGCTATAAACTGCATTACCAAACCGATATACACAATTTTACAAGATGAGGTTTAAATAAAGATTGTAACTTGTCAATTCATCTTATTGAGTTTATGCGGCTCAGGTTCTCTGCAATAGCATCTCTGATCCTCCTCGACCCAACATTTGCTTCTCCTTCAGACCTCCGAGTCTCCTCCTCGTCATCTTCCCCATCTTTCCTCATCTCAGCACTACCAGCAGCAGCACCATTTACCCATTCCTCCTGTAAATTATCATCTCCAGAATTCACAAGAAAATTATGCAACAAGCAGCCAGTAGTTATGACAAACGGCAGAAACTCCATTGTCTCTGGTTTCCATTTCCTATCAAGAATCCGCCACCTAGCTCGAACCTTAGCAAATGCAATCTCAACAGTATGCAATGCAGTGTGTATCACATTGTCGAATTCTCTACGAGACGATTCGAAACTGTCTTCATCTTCGTTTAAAGACGACGAATTATAAGGTGTCACAAGCCACGGCATTGACGGAAGACAAGAATCTCCAAGAATGTAGCGAGGCACCGATATTCCATTACTAAGTTTGCACGGAGATCCCTTCAAGAAGC